GAACAGTGGGAGAATGGGAAGGGAATGTACGGTTTTCAGCTGCTGAAAAGGTTAATGTAACCCCATTTGGGAATGAAGAGGTTAATGTAACTTCATTTGGAAATGAAAAGGTTAATGTAAACTCCCTACTCCCCTCTTGGGCGAGGTATCAGAAGAAGACTGGCTCCCTCCCTTGCTTCTAGGCAAGGGCAATTAGCTCAGAAGGAGCCAAACTGTCTGGAACAAATAAGTAGCCCCCCCCCCCCAGTAAGGTGACTGCTTTTGGTGGGACAGTCCCAATTTTTAACAATTTGTCCTGCATCCTGCTGCGTTTTAAAAAAGCCCCAATTTTTAGAAAGAGTGCAGAACAAGCTAGGGAATGTGGGAGAACAGGAAGGGAATATATGGTTTTCGGCTGCCATGTGGCTGTTTCACCAGGATATGCGTTTTATATTATTTTTGTTAATTTTATAATGTTAAACTTTAATAATAACAAATAATTGTTGAGAACTGATTATCAAGAACTGCTTATCAAAGTTTGCATTGTTGTCAGGCCCTGCACCACACCCCCCAATGGTGTCCTGCTTTACCAATGTTAAAATCTGGTCACCTTAATGTATAGTTGACATTGCCGTTGAGAGGTCCATTGTCTCCATAGGTGTGAGGCCTTCCTTGCCTTTACTCTTTGCACTCTACCCACTGCAGTTCTCTGGCCAATCATCTTTCGGAGCACTAACAGCCGCGTAAACACCTGTTATTCTTCTGGGAGGGATATTCAAACTACTTAAAATCTGAGAACAAAGCTACTTGAAGGTGCTGTGGAAACAGATTCTGGTCTCCCCAATACAAGGTGGGTGTCAGATCAGCTGAGGAGGAGGAGTGGGAGACAGTGGGATTGAGAATCAGGCTCTTCTCTGTTGGACGAGAATGCAAGCCAGACCAAGGGAAGGTCACCCGCTTACTGCTGACGGGGTTTAAGAACAGCTTGATAAATGCATGTGTCTGTTTCCTCGGGCTGCAGTGACAAATTACCACAAACTGAGTGGCTTAAAACAACAGAAATTTATTATCTCACAGTTCTGGAGGCCAGAAGTCTGAAATCAAGATGTCTGCGGGGCTGTTTTCTCTCCAAAGCCCATAGCAGAGAATCTTCCTTGCATTTTCTAGCTCATGGTGGTTGCCTGCAATCCTTAGCATTGGAGTGGCATTACGGCAGCAAGACTCCACACTCTGCCTGTGTCTATGTGTCCAAATGTCTCTCTTCTTACAAAGACACTAGTCATGCTGGATTTAGGGTTCCCCCTAATCCAATGGAAACTTATATTAACTTTATTTCCGGCTCGGCGCCTGTGGCTCAAGTGGCTAAGGCACCAGCCACATACACCCAAGGTGGCGGGTTTGAATCCAGCCCAGGCCCGCCAAACAACAATGACGGCTGCAACCTCCCCCCCCGCCAAAAAAAAATAGCCAGGCGTTGTGGCGGGCGCCTGTGGTCCCAGCTACTTGGGAGGCGGAGGCAGGAGACTCGCTTGAGCCCAGGAGTTGGAGGTTGCTGTGAGCTGTAATGCCAGGGCACTCTACCCAGGGGGATAGCTTGAGGCTCTGTCTCAAAAAAAAAAACAAACTTTATTTCCAAATGAAGTCACATTCACAGGTTCTAGGTAGACATAAATTGGGGTGGGGGTGTGTGCACCATTTAACGCACTATTGTGCCCAAGCTTTGACTCTGTCACTGAATGAAGGACCATCCTGAAAAAGGCACAAAACAAAACAAAACAAAAAGGCCCTTGCCTTCATCTCACACCACTGAGTGTGGGAGTGGGAGGGAATCTTCGGCATTCCTTCACTGGGCTTTCTTATTCACATTTTCTTTCTATAAAAGAGAGCTAACTATAAGAATGTTGTTAAAACACTCGTCATCTTTCAGGGGTATCATTCTGATGATGGCAACATATCATGGTAGACAAATCTGATCCTTAAAAATTAGGCTGGTGTTTTCTGTAGACAGAATACGAAACAAGCGTGTTCCTCTTATTGCCATTTTTTTAGTACCTCATGTGTGGGAAAATGTAGGATGTCCTCAAATAGTACATTTATAACAAATACAGTTTGCTACAAAACAATAACGACAAAGTTGACTGCCGGGAAGGAATCCTCATGACCCTGACGACCCGACAGGAGTACAACCATTTTGAGAGCCAGCGAGTAAGATAAAGCAGGCCAGAAACCAAACCACACGGTCACGGCAACCCCCTCCCCACATTCCTGGCATGCTTCAAAGTTCCTGGGAAACATCAGAGCAAACAATCTCCTACCCTGGTCCTGGCTAACACTGGAAATAAGGACCTGGTGAGAAGATTATCACTTCTGTGGGAAAAAAGTAATTAATTAATTCTAAGATCAATCCCTGACACAGCATCATTCACTATGCAGAAAAACGGTAACTTCCCTCACGGCTCATAACCCCCTCCCTCATTCCAACTACAGGAACAAAAGCCTCTTGAAACTGGGGGCTGGGAGCTTAGTCTGGGTCAGACTCCATTCTGTTCTTTTCTAGTAAAGCCTTGCCTTCATCCCTGGACTGGCCACCTCTCCTTCGTACGGACCCTCATTGGGACTCTACCCCTAAGCGTCTCATTGACAGTCCTGCAATCACACTGAGTGCTTATTTTGGAAGGCTTGGGACTTTTCTTTTATTCAAAAAGGAAAAAATCAAAATTTTGATTTGATCAAAAAATCAAATTTCTTCAAAGTAGTAGCAAGACTTCGTGGGAACATTATTTGTCTCTTTGACTTACGATGTTTACAAGAAAAAGGGGAAAAAGAGAAAAACTTCCAATATGACATTTGCCCATCATCTTTGCATTCTCAACTTTTTAGTCCCAATTCTAAACTCTCCAGGTCCAAGACACCAGGACTTGGTCCCTTACACTGGAATGCATCTGCCCTACGTTTTAAACAAAAACCAACTAAATGATAATCCAATAATTATCAAGGCCTAAATCACACGCCAACAAGGAATTTGAAAAGTTTTGTCTAAAGATTCAAAAGCTGAGTGTGCTTGGCACAGTAGAGAACTCACGATGAAAGAAAAGAGATGGTTTCAATAGTTTTTTTCAAATCAAAAGGAAAAGTGGGTGTGCCCAGCATCCAATGCATTAGTCATGGGGAAAACTGAGCCGCAAATCTTGCAAGTCAGGTTCACTGCAAATGTGACGGAAGTAGTTAGCAAAATTATGTCTACTTTTCAATGCTTATGCCCTTAGTCATGATCAGTTTACAAGCTACGTGAAAGTCAAATATAAATATGGAGATAAATTTCTCTTGCCACACTCTTATCTAGGTCAGGGGAACTTACTGAAGAGACTCACCAAGTTTTTCCGCATGGTTAAGGCTCAGCTCAGGATTATCTCCTTCAGAAACTTTTCTCTTGCCTCCTCCAAACTGAGTAGGGTGCCCCTCTTCCAGCCACACTGTTTGTTTGTTTTTGAGGCACTGCCTTACCCTGTCACCCAAGCTACAGTGCAGGGGCGTCATGATAACTCCCAGTGATACCAGAATTTTGCTCTTCAGTAGGTCCTTAGTCCCGAGGATTCGAAGAATGAACCCACGGACCACAGATCAGTGGTAGGATAGGACTTTTATTAGA